TATTTAAGTGTATTTTATTACTGTGGGCAAGTGTTTTTTCTAATTTGAAAACAATATTTCAGAAGGGGAAAAAGAAAGAAATTGTGAGTGCAAGTGATGTTTTACAAACACAAGAATCTGTTGCAATGACACATACAAGGGTCACCAGAAGACAAGTCCTGCCTCATCATCATTCTCATGAGAAAGGCAATCCCACAGAAGTCACAACATCTGCAGCTACACCTTCTAGGAGAAAAGAAAGTCAGACTACAAAGGAGAGGCATATTTCTGCTGCAACTTCACCCACAAAAGTCACAAGGAGCCAAACTCAATCTGCTGCAACTTCACCTAAAAAAGTCACAAGGACTCAAACTCAATCTACACCTACAAGGAGAAAAGGGCGTCAGAGCACAGGGCATACTTCTGTTGCAACTTCACCCACAACAAGAAGCCAAAGTGTAGCTGCAACTACCCCTACAAGGTTAACAAGAAGTCAGTCCAAAGGTCTTACACCTACCAAGGAATTGGTGCCAAAAAGGACTCAAAAAATTCAGACTAAGAGCAAGACATTGGGATTGAAGAAGAAACTAGAGGTATTAATAATGCTCATTTTCTTGTGATTTCTTCCCTATGTGCTTCAACCTGTTGTAATCATATTACTGTGCTATTAATAGGTGAGCAGGAAAAAGAATCCCTTAACTCAAGGTGCAAGCTTTTCAACAGCAAAAGGACCAGTTGTGAACAAGCAGGTGGTGCAATCTCAGCCTGAGGCAGAGATATTGGGAAGCTATTGGATTACTAGTTGTGGTAGCATAGTGGATAACTAGGGGTTGATAGATGTGCTTCATTTTGGAACTGTAATGGTTGTGGTTGGTTTTGGATGTGGTTGATAACTTTGTTGAACTGTAATGGTTGTTAGGTTATGGATTTTAGATGTGGTTTTGGATATTATGGTAACTCAGATTGGATGTGGTTTTGAGTTTTTGAAATCAGATACAATGGTTAGCTTTTGGTTTGGTCATCTATTTTGGTTGTTGTGACTGGGAATTTTTTGACATTGGGCTTGTAAAAAACAGGTTGGGTTGGAATGGAAGAGCTATGGCTATTACATAATTGAACTTCTGTTTTGTGTTATGGAGGTTACATATGTTCAATTTCTTATTTCTGTATTGTGTTATGGAGGTTACATATGTTCAATTTCTTATTTCTGTTTGATTTGGAATGAAAGTACTCAATATATACACAAACATTCACACATCATGTAAAGGCATCTTACTAACATTCTAAAGAAATAAACTAATGCAAAAGAATTTGAACAACCAAAATGGTGCTTGATTAACCAAAATAGTTCAACACACATCACATAGTGATAAGATTACAATCATTAGCATTCACATTACAACCAGAAAGAGTTTGAACACTACCTAATGCAAAAGAGATCCATTACTACTACAGCTTAGAAAACACACTACAACATGCAATATATGATCACCCAAGATATCAGAATCACAATCCACAGCCAACGCTCACGAGCACTTTTTCTCTTCAAACACAATTCAAGATTGGTCCTTTCTTCTATAACATTTTCAATACAAGCTTCAGCATCTTTCAAATCTGATTGAAGTTTCTTCACATCAGATTGAAGTTTCTTCACATCAGCTTCCAACCTCATCACGTCTACTTCAAGAAATTGAGCTTCACTTTCGAATTTGTTGGCACGTCTCAAAAGGCCGGGAATGATTTCACAAGCTCTAGGGCACAAAGGTGGTTCAATCCACGAAAAATAAGGACAACCACCATCATCCTACAAAATTCAGTTAAAAAAACAAATTAATTTAAGCAAAACTAGGGTTTATTGAATTCGCCCAATTTAAGCAAAACTAGGGTTCACTGAAATTACCCAAATTCATCAATTAGGGTTAATCTAATTAATCCCTTACCCGATTTTTTGCACAAGTAGCGTATCTCCTTCCTGGATTTTGAACACTCCATGATGTTTTCGTAAGAACATTTTTCCCACATTGACATAGTTGACCCATCGCCTCTTGTCTCCAAGCCATTTTCGATTTCGAGCTGAAGAAGAAAAATGAACAAAATCTTCGCCATTTTTTTTTTTATAAATCTGATATGCTTAGAGAATAAAATGACAAAGTTGTCCTTCAAATGTAATGCAAAATGGTAAAACTACCCTCAAGATTCGTGCGTGTGCGTCGCACGCTCGCTTTTCCGGTGGAAAACGAGCCGCCGATGGACGGAGGTTGCGATACAGGCAAACCCGTGTATTAAAGGTTGCAATTTAGTATAAAATATTCTTTAAGTTGCAAAATCCGAAAACGCGATTAGTACAGGTTGCAAATAATTATTTACCCTAAAAAAAATGATACCTAACATCATTAAAATGTTACTATAGATTATAGGTAACATAATTTTAGCGCTATAATTACTTGTGCTACCTATTGTCTAATGTAATACTTTTTACAGTTTTTTGCAACACTTATTTGTTGTGTTACAATAAGTGATCTTTTGTAATACTTTCAAGTAGCACTCACTAAATTTTATCTATGACTTTTTACGTAGCACATTTTTATCAAACGCAACATATTTTTGTAGCACTTTTTTTATCGAAACGTATCATTTCACTCTTTAATTGTATCACTTTTATTGTTTTACTACAACACTTTCAACTATTAGTGTAACACATTTGATTGTAATATGCATCACTTTTTCATTTCTAATGTAACACTTTCTACATCAATTATATATGTATAGCAATTTAAATGTTGACATCATTCTATATCTCTGGCAATATAATAAATTTTAATAAATAAACATTCAAATAATCATTGTATATACAATTATGTCAACGTACATAGAGAGAACAAAGAAAAACAAAAAAATAAAAAGCTAACTAGAATACTCTATCATCTAACACCTAAACAAAAATATGATTGTTCAAAACATTGTCTATCGAATTTATTCGATGTCTTAACAACGGTCATCATCGGTGTCACTCTTACTTGTAAGCTTGATGCCTTCGATGTCTTAACAACGGTCATCATCGATGTCACTCTTACTTGTAAGCTTCATGCCTTCGATGCTAATGACCAATATGTTGATACTAGGTGGCCGTAAATTGCAAATTCTCTCCATATACACTGCCATCCTGAAAAGGAGTTTATTTAAATATGTACACTTTCATTAGTAAATCCAGATTTAACAAAGGTACCAAATTTAACAAAACTAGTGCGTAGCCCGTGCGATGCACGGGATGGTATATTTTCCTGAAATGTTTAACGTGTGAAATATTAAAAATAATATAATTTATATATATGTAACAAAAATAAATGAATTGCAAAGAAGGGAAAAAAATATAAATTAGTGAACACTTTCTTTGTGAAGTAAAATTTGTGAAGCTTTGATATATTTGATTATGAATAGAAAAGTATGAATTATTACCTGCGGACCGTTGAGATAGATGAGAAGATTTACTTAGAATATATAGAATAAATATTGAGATAATGATTTACCTTTTACCTAGTATATATAAAATTAATATTGACATGATGTGGGAAAATTATGACGAATTATGATATAAATTCGTTTAGAAGTTAGTAGAAAATATTAAAAAATTAGATTTAATTTTTATTTTTTAAATCCTTATAGTATTCGTACACTCCTTTTCATACGCTTAATTTATCAAATTTACACATACAAATCAAAATTAATGCAACTCGAAATATTATATAACAAATAAAATGAGATTTTTTATCTAACATTTAGTATATTGCCGGAAAATCTTTTATAAATCTTATTCTCTTTTTATGCACATAGATATTAAAGAATGAGTAAAAAAATTATCTAAATATGTTTAAAAGTATCTAATATTATATGTGTTAACAATGTTACAACCAAAAGACATTAAGAATACGTAGACTATTATATAACATATGTGAAAGTATTAAAATATTTTATATTATTATCAAAAAATGTAAAATTACCTCAATTATGTCTAGACTATTTTATAAGAAAAATATATATACTTAAAGTTAGCATACACACACATATATATATCCTTAAAGTTTGCCCAACTAACATGTTTAAAAGTATATACAATTTTATATATAAAAACACGTTTAAAGTTTACATATTTTACAAAAATTAGACTGCTCTCAGTTTATATAAAGTTTGTTGCTCTCATATATTCGGATAACGTATTATGCATTTAATGAAAGCACCCTACGATACAAATTTATAAATATTAATTAAAATAATTTTCTAAATTATATAAAATTGAAATAACAAAGGTAAATATTACCTGTTCATCATGAAACAGTCGTTCGTGATGGGTTTCAATAATGCGGGTGCTCTCAGAGACAAAAAAAAGTTTGTTTCTTTTGTTAACGGAATCAAGTGTACCCCAGCCTGGGAGCATTATAAGTATTTTTTTTTCTCTGAACTCGTGAATGATGAGTTGTAATGGTGGTAGTGAATATCCTTTTATACAATTTTTTATTAACCAAAAGTGATAAGATAATTATGGATTGTATTTGGATAGATAGTAAGTCCCATGATTTTTGGGACGGACAATCAATTTCACATATTTTTTATTAATTTCACATATTTTTTATTAACCAAAAGTGATAAGATAGTTATGGATTGTATTTGAATAGATAGTAAGTCCCATGATTTTTGGGACGGACAATCAATTTCACGATTTTTCTTCCGATTTTAAAGTAGAATACATAAATAGAAAGTCAAAAGTCAACTCAATTATTTTTAGGTTTCTAAAAAAAGATTTTTACATCAACCTTTTTAGATATATATAGATGTAAAAATAGACAAACTACACAGTCATATGAAACTTCTTGCTACTGCATGTTAAAGAAAGATTGTAAATAAAGATGAAATTATAGTAATTTAAACTGAGCTTAAAATGTAGTAATATTTGACGTAAGGAGCTTATTTCCTGCGAGTAAAATTTGACTTGCACAAAACTTGGTCAAGATAAAAACTAAAGTCCCCTAATCCATTTTCAGATTTTCTAAATACTCCCAGCAGTAGATCTAAACACTCAAAATAATCTTAATTAGTCGGCATCTATAGAAAAAGTCTCGAGGAACGGGTGGCTAAAGCGATCAACACAAACACTTTGAAAAATTAATGAATCTAGAGAATTCTCATTAAAGCGATCAACAGAAGCACTTTGACAAACTAAAGAATCTAGAGAATTCTCATTAAAACTTAATTAAAAGAGGCTGGAAAAAATGGTTGAAAAAAAATCATATAATCATAACTTACCACAGCCTTTGTTTTGGATCCACGTCCCATCTTGACCTCTTTAACTGCCTTCTCATCAACCTTCCTGCCATTCTAACATATAAAACCAGTAACACTAGCAGAATTACCATTGCAAATCATGTCTTGTCTATTATGAGAAAACCAACCTTTGAGATATCATCCATTTTCTCAAGCAATAACTGGGAGTGAAGTTGGATCTGTGTTAAGATCTCGTCTAGATCAGTGCATTGAATTTCATTCAAAAGAGGTTCTGAAGAATAAGGAGCGAGAATGGATATTATCAACTACGAAAATAATGAGATTATGCATCTCAAATTTTCTTCTTTTCATTTCGTTCAGCGGCTGTCAGCCTTAGCTGCAGGCAACTTTGAGCAGATCATAAAGAAAATTAAAAGACATCATCAACGTAATCAATACCAAATTTCTGGGAAAAATAAAAATAAGAAAACCTAGCAGAATCATGATGCGTACCCCACAATAGAGAAAGCAAAAAAATTAGGGCAAAAGTCAAACATATCTTATTTCTCCAATCTCCTAATCTCTTGAGCCGGCCAAACAAAGATCCAGAACATTGGCGAATTAAGCTGGAGAAACAAAGAGTTAAAAAAAAAAAATCTCCATCCAAAAGTGATAAACCAACAACAAATACTTAGCTTTACCCATCAATTTCATCGAAAGCAACCTATAAATGTACAAGATAACATGATCAGAACCTCATGAGGTTGTATCAAAAACTTAAAATATAAATCAAATTGAGTAATGGCATAGCTTGAGGAGTTTAGCCTTGATTTATCTGTGATCTCAATTCTTAAATATACACAACTTTTGCACTTGATTTAATTGGCATACCTCTCTCTAAAGATAGACTAGTTCAATACTATGTAATATTGTATCAACAATACTAATTTAAGAAGAGTGAAACAACAAGCTATGTTGAAGTTCTATTTGCACATAATTCTTTACACCATTCTCCATTCACTCTCTATTTCAACCAATCATCTTACCTTTGGCACTTTACACGAAACTACAGATATATACACAACCAGAAAAGCAAAGATCGTGACTTCTTAATCTTAAGTACGAATAGCAATGAACTTGCATGTTGCAAGAGCTTTCTATCTTCCAACCATTATCATTAATCTAAAAGCCTTTCTCTTTCCCTCCGCTTTCTTTTATATGCTAGTATGTCTCAAATGCTCAATATACATTTTTTCCCTAAATTAGTGTGTGAAAACTGATCAATTCATATTAGCACTACTCGGATTTTTTTTAATCAATAATAACAACATGAAAACAAGCATTGATGGTACCCATGAAATAATAATTAAAAAAGTAAAAATAAATCAGATTTTCTAGAAAAATCGAACAACTAATTATAGAACAATTTAAAATTGACAAAACCCCAAAATAAATTTTCCATCCCTAGAAAAAATAAAAGAACACTAACAAGAATCAATGATTAAAACGTAGAAAGAAACTATGTAATACCTCACAAGATATCCTTAATAACCTTCTTCGATTGTTCTCCGACGTTTCCTTGATAGAAACGACGAGGGCTTAATAGATCCTGGCGAATGGCGTAGATCTGGTGAGGTTTGGCCGCCGCATAACGCAGACGCGCATGCTCAAACAGTTTCCTTATGACCAGAGCACGGGACGGATTCGTTCGGATTGTAGTGGCGCTTCGTTCTCTGTCTGCCAGTGACCGACGGTGAACCCCTAACTAATGAGAATATCTTTCTTACGGCCTGTGTGAGGTTTTTTATTTCTTTATTTTATTTTTATTTTTATTTTTGGTTCTGATTATTAAAAATGGCAAAAACATTTTTAAATGTCAATATAAATATAATAGGATAGATAATAACACTTTTAAAATATTAATTTGTCCCAATTTCAAACTAATGGATAATACCAAATTTTAATTTTTTTTTTAGTATTTTTATATTTCTATCGAGTTCTATTTATACATATATAAAGATCTACACTTAATTTTAAACGTTTATATTTAATTAATTTGTAATCTATATTTAATATTAATTAAGTTAGTTTTTTTAAGTATTATATTACAATAATCGATTTAACTAATATTTACTAATATATAATATATTCAAATATACTAAAGATAATAAACACAAATTAAAAAATAAAAATTGTTTGGGTCAACCGGATTGGCCCATTCGTATGAAGGCCCGCTAGATCAAACTGGCTTGAGTTATGATCGGTTCACATGTATAATGATACAAACGAGCAATTTGATTAAATTTCACTTTGGATTAGTGCTGCTAAATTAAACGAGCCTGGTTCGGATCGGCTCGAGCTCGACTCATTAAGGTTCAGGTTCGGCTCGAGCTTGAGCTCGAGGCCTTAACAAGTCAAGCTCGAGCTCATTTAAAGCCCGTTTGGTTAACTCAGCTCGATAAGACTCTAAAAGAGAATTTTTATGTAATATTCTATAGTTTGGCTCGTGAAAGGTTGAATTCAACTCGTTAATAGTAATGAGCAAGTCAAGCTCGAGCTCAATTTTTAACTAGTTAAGGGTTCGAGCTTGAGCTTAGCTCGATTCGTTTACATGCCTTGACTATGTTGGGTTAGCTCACAAAAAGGTGATTAGGACACATAACAATAAGTATGTAAGACCAATTGTCTTAATATGTACTTTATGTTACGGTGTTCTGAAAATTTGATACACTTTATTGATTGATGAAATTGTTAAATTGCTTTATAAAAGCATGAGAAAAAAAAAAAGTATTACTTGAAAGTGTTACGGAATAAAAAGTGTTACAAAAAAATGCTACATATTAATAAAATGTTACAAAAATGTTACATAAATGTAAAAAATTTTATAAAATAGAAAGTGCTACAATAATGTGTTACATAAACTAAAAATTTGAAAAATGTTACAACAATTGTGTTACTAAATGTCACTTATGTTGTAGTATCGTAATAAGATTGGGGATGGTTTCTCGACATTTATGTTGTAGTATCGTAATAAGATTGGGGATGGTTTCTCGAAGATTGTTTGATTCCTTTCACCGAGCGGGAGTTTAGGAATAGTATAAGTAAAAATTCTATTATTGATGAATTTTATTTTGTAAAAGCTCGTCGAGCACAACTTCAGTAAATATTTGATGAAAAAATATTATGTAATTTTTATAAAAATGAGTATTTAAACTTCTATCCCAGTATACTCTTAATTTCTGGATCCGTCCCTGATTGCATTTGAAGAACGATAAACCATTTATCTTAGTACGGATAAACCTTGATAAACATTCACCATCAACTGATACTCTCAAAACAATACCGTCAAGTCAACGAACATCATCGATCCTTATCAAGAAGTTTGTTACGGATCATGCCACATATGAATACCCAAATTTTATTCCTCATTAGATAGTAGTAGTTTACAGTAGAAAGAACACAAAGAAACGACTGGACATGGTTCTGTGAAATGGACTCTCCAACAAATGCCTACTTTTATTACTCATCAGCTCTAGAAACTTCCCGGTATCGACCATAAATATACTAAATATAAACTACAAAAACTGACACAATTAACCATAAATATACTGAATATAAATAAAATAAATCAAATAATCAAACAATCAATAAACGGTTCGTCTTCGCTTCGAACCATGGAACAAACGCGCAGTGGCATCGTAGGTAAGGACTGTTAGGAAATATTTTATTTCCTATATATAATCTAATTATGGGCAACATATTATATACAATTATATTAGCTATTCAATTAATTAATGGACTCAATTAAGTGATCTAAATAAAGTAGAATCTATGGGCTACGTAAATTGATATGGGCTAATTGAGTGGATACCTAATATTATTAGGGTTAGGTAATAATGGGTGACCTACCCTAGTAGTATATAAAGACCCTATTGGTTATGGTCCCCAATATGGTAAATCAAACATAGTTCTCTTTTCTCCCCATCTGAATTGAGAATGACGGTCTCATATGAGGAATAAGGCGATTTAGTTGAGGAAGACCATAAAACTGACCCCGTTCGTGATCAAGGATGTGTTCGTGATCCAGATCGTGTTCATGGAGATGAGATCCGGAGATTGATGATAAGGTATTCCGCATCTAGAAACTCAATCTCAATGGATCCAGGTATTTCTTATAATCTTTAATTTTAATCTAGCGCGATGTTGATTTTCCTAGAATTAAAGTATGTTCTAGGTTAATTGTTATTGAATTTATATTATGTGATTATAAATTCCTACAAGTGGTATCAGAGCAGTCATCGATTGCTAGATCTAGATTCAATAGATCCGAATTGCAGTTTAAATTCAAATTTTCGAACTTTGTCTATGCATTCGATATCGAATACTGTGAAAGTGAATTTAATATCTGCAAATTAGATGTCTTCTGCTAATTTATCCGAATAATTAAACATCTTAATGGCTTGGCGTGAAAGGGGTTTTTTATTTGTTGAATTTATATATCACAAACCTTGATTTGTCTTTTGACATTCATCTCTATAAATCTGTCGGGCCATTTGGGTTGTTGCATAATTATTTTGGTATATTTGGAAAGTTTTTTCAACCCATGACAATAGATGCATTAATATGTTTTAATTCACTTTTCATATTAAGCATAATGATCTATTTAGTGCTCGCATAAATTTTTTGGGGGCTTAATTTAGTTTGGTCCCCAATACAATTAATTTAGTAATTAACATTGAGTTTATTGCTAAATTGCATGATCTGGAAAAATATATGCATTTACTATATGAGGTTGAATGTCTTAAAGGATGAAAGTCCAAATTTGTTTTCTTGGACTTGTTTAAATAAAAGATTAATTTGGTTTATAGGCTTTCATTTAAATTGAATTGCGGAACACTCATTAGAATAATGTGGGTTATTGTGATGTTAAACATGTGGCAATTACTTAGTTATACATATAAACGATAAGTCGGCCCAAAGGAAGATTTATTGTTTGACATGTTCTTATTGTCAATGTTTGATCAATGTGCTAAGCTATCAATTACAAGTTAATATTTTGTCCAAAAATAAAATATTAATGGAGTTGTGATGTTTTGAGATAAGGTTACCTTTATTTAAATTTGTTATTTTAAGTCTAAGTAATATTCATGAGCATAAAGGTTGATTTTTAAACTATCTTTATTCATGGAGTTTTAAATCAACATAAGGAATTAGGTTTATGGTCTTTCACTAAAGAGGACAAAATAAAATGGTGGATCTTTATTTTGTCTTATTTTGTTATATTTGATTTTAGGCTAAATTGTGAGTGTATTTGAGCTTAAGTTGACATTTGGTTTTCGTCTAATTCTGCTAAAATTAACAAAATTTGTTTCAAGCTTAAAATCTAGATGTTTGAACTTTGTTCTATGTTTTGTGGACTTACTTCACATTCGGTAAGGTTAAGCTTAATTTGGTCATACTATGCTTTGTCTATATAAATTTGAATTTAAAATTTAAATTTGTTTATGGGCTTGAAACTCAAATAAAGTTAATGGACACAAGTTCATATAAAGTTTCATATTTTGGCTCAAACTCAAAGTTAGATTTCGAGATTATCTTTTTCTTGGCATCTCAATATATTTATAAGGTATGTGTTTTGAGTTTGACTCTGTGGTAGACTCATAATATGTTTCCGGGATGTGGGGCTAATTATCCCATAAGGATAGGATTTATATTGAAAATCTTTACATATAATCCATAAGAATTCTTTGAACTATGAGAAACATATTAATCATTTTCATGACTTATGTGTTTAATTTGGTTTAGGTTTAAATTCCACAGCACTGTCATATTGAGTTTATATATGTTTGAGTTAATTTTGGACAGTAGTTATATGACTAATGGATTGAATTTTAGCCCAATTTGGTAATAATGGGCCGCAAATTCAAAAGACAGTTTATTTAGATTTAAGCTTATTGAAATTAGATTTTAAGCCTAATTGGTTATATGGGCTTTCAATCTAAATAAATTTAAAATTCAATTTATTTTAATTCATAATCTTTAAATTCATAGTTTTTCTGGGGCGACGTTTTAACGTTGTTCAATTGAGTAATAGAGAAATTCTCAGTCACATTTACTCTGATGTTGTGATTTTCAATTTAGTCAATCAAAGTATCTTGTTGCCATAGCAACCTCTGTGCATATAGAATGACTTTATTGAAATTATTTTAATGTTGTGTGAAGTTGTTCATGTGATCTGTGCTCGGCCCATAGGTAGAGACAGGTTGACTGAATAATAACGCATATATCGTGAAAAGAGAAACTCATATGGATTTTACTCAATTGGTCTATTAATTTTTCATTTAGTCAATCAAAACATCATGTTGTCATAGCAACCTCTGTGTGTGGAGAGCGACTTTATTGAAATTACATAGATGTCGTGTGGAATTATTTATGCGTTTTGTGATCGGCCCATAGGTAGACGCAATTTGGCAAAATAATAACACATATGTGATGATAAGTATGTGATAACTATTTGGATTGTTCATGTGCACATTAGTCAGTCCATAGATAGACTTTTGTTTGACAGAACTTATTATCAATGCTTGATCGTTACAACAAGACTACCACTGCAGTTAATTTTCTGTCCATAGACGAGATTAGTGTTGCACTATAGAGTCTTGCCACGTGTCCCTATTTGGTCTACTTACCCATATTTATGCATGACATAAATTTATGTGTGAGTATTTTGGTATTGTTCTCTAA